AAAAAACCCAACCACCACCAACAAAAAAAAACACCAAAAAAATAAGTTTTTCTTAGCTAAAAACATGCCCTCAGTGGGATTGTGTCCCTTCTAGAGGGAGTAGGTAAGAATCCATTTCCATGCTATTTTCACAGAGAAAGTGCAAGAGTTCACCCGTACACCCCTTGGCTGATGGGCCCATTCAAAGCCAGCAAGTATGCATTGAGTCTCTTTTACTCCACATCTTCCTAGGTTCTGTGCTTTAGACTGACTTTCTGAGCTGGGCATGGTGGTGCACGCCTGTAATCCCAGCACTCAGGAGGCTGAGACCGGAGAATCATGAGTTTGAGGCCACCTTGGGCTACAAAGTGAGCTCAAAGCCAGCCTGAACTGCATAGTGAGACCCTGTCTCAAGAAGACAAAAATAAAAAATAGTCTGACTTTCTGAAGGGTAAGATTTGGGTCACATCCACCTGTGTCTAATATAAACTAGGAGCTCAGTTAGCTTTTTTTTTCCCCTAGACTCAAGACAATCCTTCTGCCTCAGCCTGCCAAGTGCTGGGATTACAGGTGTGTGCTACCACGCCGGGCTCATTCTTTGATTTTAGAGAACAAGAACTCCTCCCAGCTATCTTTCAGGTTAGGAGTTTCTTTCCTCTGCGTCACTGGCATCACAGGCATGTGGCACCACGCCCAACTCTGGGCTGCATTTAATGCGTAGAATTATGTCCCTCTTGCTGCCTCTACCCTCCTCTTCTGACTTCCCTGGCCTTTATTGTATATAGTAGCATAAGAAATGGGGAAGTGCTGTGTCATGCTGGCTAAGCATCTCAACTTTTTGGTTCTTAATCATTTTTCCTTGCAACAGTAGGGATTTTTTTCCTCTGTGAGAGACTGAACAGTTACTTGGCATGATAATTTTCTCTCTTGGGGAAGTAGGAATAGCAGAGATTTTGAGCTAAATAATGGATGGCTGTTGTGGGTATGCTAAACCAACAAAATAATACAGTCTTTGTGTTTTGGGGTATGTTTTGTTTTTTTTTTTTTGAGACAGGTCTTGCTATGCAGTTCACGCTGAGCTCACTTTTGTACCCCAGGCTGGTCTTGAACTCACAACAATCCTCCTGCCTCAGCCTCCCAAGTGCTGGGATTACATGCATGCACCACCACATCCAGCTACAATACAGTCTTACTTCACCCAAGAGAAAATTACTATCTAGTATATTCCTCACAGCCAAGACACTGAGCTGGACACGTGTTTACATGTCTGATTTAGGAACGAAAACAGGGGCCTAGGCATAGTGGCACACACCTCTAATCCCAGAACCTAGAGATTGAGGCAGGAGGTTCAACATGAGTTCCAGCTGGGCATGGTGGTGCACAACTGTAATCCCAGCACTCAGGAGGCTGAGGCAGGAGGATCCTTGCAAGTTCGAGGCCAGCCTGGGCTATAAAGTGAGTTCAAGGCCAGCCTAAACTGCACAGTGAAACCCTGTCTCAGGGGGATGGGGATTTAGCTCAGCGGCAAAGCCCCTGCCTGGCAAGCACAAGGTCATGAGTTCGATTCCTAGTACCAGAAAAAAAGACAAAAAAATAAAAAAACATATTGGAAACCCTGTCTCAAAAAGACAAAAAATAAACAAAAAAAACCCATGAGTTTGAGGCCAGTCTAGGCTATATATACTGAGTTCAGCCAGCCTGAAGTACATAGCAAGACCCTGACTCTAAACAAATGAATAAATAAACCTAAAAGACCCTGATTTTAGTCCTTAACACTGAAGGAAAAGAAAAAAAGGACAAATGTTTATTGCATACATTTTTATATGAGGCATGTGTAATGACCAAAGATGGGAAGTAAATTATCCAAGGTCACAGTTAATGGATGTTGGAGCTGGATTCCACACCAGGAAGCAGAGCCATTAAGTTACACCACAGCAAGGTGATGTTTACACAGCCATAGTGTGAACTGTGACCCCGGAGTTATGCTCTGGAGCTGTCTGAACAGCTATGCATCTCTGGGACCCACCATATTCCTGATGTAGATTTGAGGCCAGGGATGTAGCTGAGTGGTACAGCTCCTGCCTGGCAAGTGCGAGGCCCTGGGTTTGATTCTTGATACCAAAAAAAAAAAAAAAAAGAAGGAAAGACATGTAGATTTGAGAATTAGCAACACAGAAATTAAGTTAGCATGTATTGTGCTTCTATTTGCAGTTTACTCTTTGCAGAGAGGCAAAGACAAGTAAGACGTCATTTCCTGAGTGTTTGAAGGCTCTC